TCGGAGCGTGGAACGTACGAACAATGTTTGAAACAGGAAAAGTTGCACAAGTGGAAAGAGAGTTCCTAAAGTACAATATGGAGATCCTGGGAATCAGTGAATGTAGGTGGACGGGCAATGGTTCTATCACGACACCCTTGGGTACAACCATACTATACTCTGGAAGGGACGATAACATGCACCGTGAGGGAGTTGCATTAATGTTAACAAAGACAGCAAAAAAGAGCATGCTGGAATGGAAGCCCATTAACGAGAGAATGATCACAGCCAGATTTAATTCGACTCATACGAAGATGTCAGTGATAGCCTGCTATGGACCAACAAATGATGCAGAGGATGAGGCTAAGGATAAWTTTTACCAACAGTTACAGAAAGAAATTGATTGTATCCCGGTGCATGACGTACTTATTATAATGGGTGACCTAAATGCTAAAGTAGGAGGAAGCAATGAGGGCAGAGTAAAGAACATGGGAACACATGGATGTGGGGAAATGAATGAAAACGGAAACCTTCTAGCTGATCTTTGTGGTCTAAATGACTTAGTCATTGGAGGCACCATCTTCCCACATCGCAGGATACATAAGTTAACATGGGAGTCACCGAATGGCAAAGACAAGAACCAGATTGACCACATCATTGTGAATGGACGGTGGAGGCACTCCCTACAAGATGTTATTGTTAGGAGAGGTGCTGATGTAGGCAGCGATCACCATCTAGTACGTGCCAACATAAGGCTACATCTTAGAAAAGCACCTTCCAAGGTTAAGTGCATTAGAAAACAGCGATATGATTCTATAAGTCTAAAGGACCCAGAAATATCCAAGAAGTTTAGTACAGTTCTAAGGAACAGGTTTCAAGTTTTCAGCGACATTGGTGATGGGATGGAAATGGATGTGGAATCTTTGTGGAAAGCCGGGAAAGAAAGTTACAATCAAGCTTGTGAAAAGGTTATACCAACCAAAATGAAAAAGGTAAAGGCTTGGATATCAACAGAAACATGGGACCTGATAAATGAAAGAAGGCTATTGAAAGAACGAAAAGGGAATACCAAATCGAGAAGACTCTTAGAGAAGTATACATCTAAATACTCTGAAGTGCATAAAGAAGTTAAACGCAGGTTAAGGAAGGACAAGCGATCCCATTATGAGCACTTAGCAACAGAAGCAGAGGAAGCTGCTTCAAAAGGAGAACAGGCCGAGCTATATAGAATTACAAGGCAAATTTCTGGGAAATTCAACTCGGGTTGCCCAATAGTAAAAAACAAGGATGGTGTAAGAATAACAACGGAAGAAAAACAACTACAACGCTGGGCAGAACACTTTAAAGAAGTTCTGAATAGATTAGAACCGAACGAACAGCTGGATATAAATGAGTCTGCTGCAGAGGAACTTAACATCGATTGTTCCCCCCCAAAGAGAGAAGAAATTATAAAAGCAATTAAATCCTTGAAGAATAACAAAGCACCTGGATTAGATAATATCACAAGTGAGATCTTAAAAGCGGATTATCAATTTTCAGTGGACTGGCTATATCAACTCTTTCATAAGATCTGGAGTACTGAGGAGATACCTGACGACTGGAGTAAAGGTCTTATTGTTAAACTGCCGAAGAAAGGAGACAAGACTGTGTGTTCTAACTGGAGAGGAATTACGTTGATCTCAGTGCCAAGTAAAGTGTTTTGTAAAATTTTACAGATGCGAATGAGGGATGCCATCAACTCCCTACTGAGGAAAGAGCAAGCTGGTTTTAGATCAGGAATGGGCTGCATAGACCATATATTCACCTTGAGAAACATCTTAGAGCAGAGTATTGAATGGAATAG